CTTGTCACCAACACCAGCAATAAATGACACGAGCTGCACTTGCCACCGGGCTTTGTGCGTGTGTTGGCGCGACGCCATCTTGACAAAAAGGGAGGGGGGGGGAGTGTCACAGTCCCCAAACATGTCACTTAGGGTGTCCCCGGGGTGTTGGCACCCAAATCGATGGCACAGGACGGCGGGTGAGGGCACACGGTGCTGCTTTATTGCCGGGGGGACACGGCTGGGCCCGGGGGGGGAGGGGGGCGCAGCACCAGTGTCACCCAAAAAAGCCACCCCTTTCCTCTGTCCCCCTCGCCGCTGGGGACACAGCCGGGACATTTTGGGGACACTGTCCCTAGACCGAGATGGAGCCATCGCGGAAGTCGGTCTTGCCGATGAGGGCGTTGATGAGGACGGGGTGGCCTTGGCGGCACGCATCCTGCGCAGCGCGGAGGACGGTGTCCAGCCTCTCGCAGTCCGGGCGACCCACCACGAAGCCTTTGCCACCCAGAGCTTCGGCCACCGCGTGGTAGTCTGTAGGGAGGGGACAGTGGTGGTGGCCCTGTCACCTTCACAGGAATGGCTTGATATTGGGGTGATACAGGGCCACCGGGCATGGCTTGATACGGGGTGACACTGGGCTACCGAGCTCCGTGCTCCCCGAGGTGACACGGTGCCACCAGGCATGGCCTGGCCCAGGGTGATGGTGCCACCAGGCATGGCCTGGTCTGGAGTGGGGCGGTGCCACCAGGCATGGCCCGATCCTCCCAAGGGTGACACGGGACCACCACTTCAATCCTCCCTGGAGGTGACATGGCCAATTACTGTCAGGGTGATGGTGCCACCAGGCATGGCCTGATCTGGGGTGACCTGGTGCCACTAGGCATGGCCTGCTCCAGGTGACACAGTGCCACCAGGCATGGCCCGATCCTCCCAAGGGTGACACGGGACCACCACTTCAATCCTCCCTGGAGGTGACGTGGCCATTGACTGTGGCCTGATGGTCCCCAAAGTGACTTAATGCCACCAGGCATGGCCTGATCCTTCCCAGAGTGATGTGGTGACACCTGGTACGGCTCCTTCTACCCCAGGGTGACACAGTGCCACTGGGCATGGCTCAATCCAAGGTGACATGATGCCATCAGGTGTGGCTTGATCCTCCCCAGAGGGACGTGGTGACACCCAACACGGTTCGATCTACCCCAGGGTGACACAGTGCCGCGGGGCATGACTCAATCCAGAGTGACATGATGCCACCAGGCACAGCTTGATCCACCCCAAGGTGTCATGATGCCACCAGGCACGGCTCAATCCACCCTAGGATGACATGGGGTCACCCGGGTGTCCCCAAATCTGGGAACAAAACGGGGGACACAGTGCTCACCCAGGTACTCAAGGCCACACGCCACGTTGCTGCCCAGCAAAGCCACTTGCTCCCGGGCAATCTGGCTCCAGCACGCGTCGTTGCCCACCAGTGCGATGACAGGCGTCTGTAGGGGACAAAGCACAGGGCCACCGTGCCCTGGTGACACCCTGGGATGGGGACAAGACCCCATTTCCCCCCCCACCCCACCCCATTTTTGGCGCCATCTGACCTTGTGCCGCACGAAAGTGTCGAACTCCATCAAGCTGTAGCCCAGCGAGCCGTCACCGTAGAGGACCCAAACCTGGTGCCGGGGAGGGGACAAACACCGTGAGGCCATGTGGGTGGCACGGTAGCCGCCGTCCCCCCCGGCCACCCCACCCCCGCACCCCCC